TTTTTTTTTTTTTTTTTTTTTTTTTTTTTTTACTTGGTTCATTGATAACATTTTGTACTATGACTGTGTCCCATAGGCTTCTCAATACAGTCATACTTTGGCCTGCAGAAGTCCTCCACTGTGGACGGCACCAACAGTAAGATCAATCTGAAGGTGGAAGACCCTGCCAATTTCATGCCTCCTAAAATCGACATCTCAGGCATTGAAGCCAAACGGGCTTCCACACGGCCACACAAACTTAAACCCCGGGACATGAATGTTTTAACACCTTCAGGCTTCTGAAGTCCGACTAGTTCCTCCAGTTGCACCAGTTGTAGTGGGCTTTTCTTCTTCGCCTGGCTAAACATCGGCTTTCCTGCCTTCAGTGTCCTGTGCTTCCCTGGAAAATCACTTGGTGGGAGAAGAATGGGAGCCACCACTAGTATTAGCTCACCAGCCCCAGAGACATCACTGCTCTGTTACTCTCAGCCTTCTCCAATCCCCTTTCAGTTTCTTCCAGCTCATTGGTCCAAATAAAAACAATGAATTCACTTAATTTGTCACCCTGAAAAATTCTTAAAATTAGTGTCACATTAATGGGTACATTTGCGCACATCGTCTTGCTGTCCTCATTTCATTGTTGGCAATGGCATGAGATAGATGTTGTAATATCTTGTCAGTTGTTTTCAGAAGTTGATCACGTTAGCTTTGACTCTCACACTAACACTGACCTCCTGTTTCTCTTCAAAACGCTCAGATGCGTGCCTCATTTGTATTTTTTTTTGGTTGTATTTTTCATAATTATTATTATTGCTCTTAAACTCACAGATTTATTGTTGTATAGTGCTTTTCTGTCTGCATGCAGAGTGCAGCTTGGGTTTGACTGAAATGTGCCTGAATTTGCAGCTGTTTAGAGCCAATTTTAGCTTCTTTTTTTCTCAAACTTTATTGAACAGCTTACAATTTGACATTGACTGAAAGTGACTGCTGACCTGAGGTGATTTTTTATTTTTTGAGTTGTGATTATTTTTAATTTTTTTTTCCTATTGTCCTGTTTTAAGATTTGTTTATTCCATATAGTGGGTATTCCATTCTTTTGGATTAGACCTTTGTAAATAACTCTGAAATGTTGGTTTAATAAGCTTTGAAAATACAGCATTCAGGAGGTACCTTAAGTTTTGGGCTTCTCATGTCAAAGAACTCAGCTGATTTTTAGAAAGATGTTGAGTTCTGTTAAGCAATTGCACAAGGGAGGAAATCTCCCACAAATACCTGTTAATAAATCTCATAAGTGAAAATGGATTTTGGATTAATTCTTTCAATTGCATAAAGACATTTCATGTATTTCACAATATAGTCCCTAAAATACTTCATACATTACAACAGATCTTTCATTTGAGGCTCATAGAATCAAAATTCATTCAAACATCAGTATTAATCAATTAAATGTTTCATATGAAATCCTGAAAAAAAAGGGGGATATAGACTAAATGAACTAGCTCTGATTTAAAGCCGATGAAACAAGGATTCTATCACATTAAGATATTTGACCTTGTATCAAATGATCAGTTTACAAGCCTCTCTTATTTTGGATTATATTGTTTTATTTGTATTTCTGCTGTAGGTTGGTGGGTTAGTTGGTACTGCTGCGTCATTATAAAAGGGTTTTTGGTTCAAATCCTGGTAAAAGCCTTCCTGTGTGAAGTTGTTATCCTGACGCATGTGCAGGTTTTTCTACGGAAACATACATTTGAGGTCAGATGGTGATTTGGTGTGGGTGTGTATCTGTGATGTCCAGGATCTCCCCCTCTTTCACCTAATGACAGTTTATGAGGCTACAGCCTCCGCGCCATAGAAAATGGATGGCTCATTTTGCTTCTGTGGTGAAAACGACTTGTACTTGCAGTCTTTGGCCAGAAGAGGTCACAATTAGTTCACAAGATCACAATTGTTGAACGTTTGTTAAGATCAGTAACATTGAAAAGCTCAAACAGCAACAATGTGCTCGTGCTTTTCCACACAGAGTGACTGAATAAAAGGAAATTCATTTTCCTACAGGGCCATGGCCTTCTTTTGGCGAATTCTCATCAGGTCATCCGCTGTGCACACTCATTTAATCATTCTAATTCTGCTGTCAAACAGACTGGTCTTACAGCACATAGTCACACATGAGCGGAGCCTCAGTTCCCCTCTTCACAGCAAAATCCAGGCCATCCGAAAACGAGACAGCAGGGAGCAACAGCAGAGAGCCGGGTTCTTCCCCTGTAGGCTCAGCTAGAGTTACAGCCTTGTTAAAGCTCCTAACAGTCGTCGCCTGATGCCCAGTTTGGTGTGTGTGTGTGTCTGTGTGTGTCGGAGAGTAAATAGAAGTGCGTTTTCGTGTGTACACACTGCAGATTTATTCCAGGGTGTGCCTGCTGCCCCTGTTTTTACCGCTTTAGCAAACAGGCTGGAATGAAAATGCAACACGTTTCAATTATACGTTGACAGGAGATTAAAATCCCAAATCATTTGTTTGCATCTCAATTTGAACACCGACAAGGCCTCAGCGTCAGGTCAGGCCCATGTTCCTGAAAGGAAAGAAACAGGTCGCGCAGCATCCACTGTCGTCTGCGCGGCGGAAAAACAAGAATGAAGCTGAGCCCTGAATGAGAATAACCAGTTTGGAAAGAACAGCGAGCTGACGGTGAAATACCGGAGTCCAAACCGGTCCGGAAAATGGCGGACAGACCCTCCCTCTAGGCGTAAAAGCTTTGGGACAGCTCGCAAACCCAGAGGAAGACAATCAGTCTTGGGGTCATTCTGTCAGAAGCGTGAAACACCGCACAAACACAGCTGGGTCACAGTGACTGTTTCAGAAACTCTAACCCCAAAAACACACTAGAGCTAAGACAAGAGAGCCGGAGGGTGGGGAGCTCTGGGAGGGAGGGGAGGGAGGGGACATGGAGGACGAGGGAGCAAAGGGTGGAGTGCCTCGGTAGTCATGACGTAAGGCGTATGGCGCTCTTGCTGGATCCGACATGACGTGATCCTGTGGCCCACCTCCCTTCAGCCCCCAACCCCACCATGTAAAAACACACCACCCCGCCAGGGTGACCAAAACACCCAAACAAACACCCGGGCTGCCTCCACAGTCTGACAACCGCTCATCCACTTGACTCATCGGAATTGTGAAAAAACTGGTCTGGCCTCATTTCTTCCTGCCAACCCCAAAACGATTCACTTCAGGCCGTCTCACACCCTCACGCTGACACAAACTCAGAGGTCCCGGTCTGACCAAGCCAACGCAATGTCACGAGCAGGAAACCAGTCCCTTTTCTAAGTGGAAGCCATTTTTTCCTGTCACAGATTGAGCTTTCAGCACGCTGGCCATGTCTCAGTGTGTAGAGAGTTCAACTCTGCGAGGGACTGGGTGAACTTTCATCGCGAACATCTTCGAGTGGTGGAAGGACCTCGTTTCACAATCACTCTCGGAGTGCGATGGGAATCCTTTTTACGGCACACACGTTCATTTAAAGGAAGTTTTTAATTAGCAGATAGGGGCCGGTGCTGCCTGACCCTTCAAATCTCATTTGGCAGTGATTTTCTTCTTTTAGATCTACGTGGAAGTGTTTTCTTATGAACACACCAAACAGAAAGTTCATTCCGTACGCCGGTATGAAACTAGTGATAAGATAATAGTATCTGCCAGACTTCGGTACTAATATTTGCCCTTTGTCTATAGCTTTAAGGGTACATATAATTGATCTCTTATCATTCCAGCCAGTGTTATTAACTCTTATCTGAAGAAATATGCTGATTATTATTGAATGTATCCATTACTGATGACAAAATCCAACAAGGGAATTAAAGGGGTCCCTTTTGATATCACATCTAACTCCAGAACCCCAGAAACACATGTGGGACTGATGTCACAGTCTGACCTCAGCAATTAACCAGAGATTTGAGATTGTAATGGGGATAGAGGAAGACGAATGGGTGTCTTAAGGTTTCCAGTAAACCTATACTCCATACCCAGCTGTTTGAGGGCTCAGACGGTGTAGATTACATAATGCTTTTTATGTAACAACAAGCTTCTGTATAACATAAGTTGTAAAGACATAACCTGCTCCAGTATGTTTGTGTCCTTGAAGACTTCTGCAGAGTTCAGAGCCAAGTGTGCAAACATTCCCACAACTTGAACAAGAAAAAGGTGAAATTGTGGAAAATATGTATATATAAATGTAATATGTATAATATAAAACAAATCTACATAAATGAGGCCATAATTTGAGACGACGTGACCCAAAGAAGGTTGTTTAAACTGTTTGATTGCTAGCTTGATCATTTATTTTTTGTTTTTGTTATTTTATTTCAGCACATTTGAAAACTTATTTTTTTTAAAGTTCATGTCAATAGGTGATTGCAATCAAATGGGATTGATGGAGTCTATGAAGGGGTCAAGATGGACAGAGGGTTTCCCTCTGAGTGGAAAAAACAGTAAACTGATAGAAAGAAACGTTGTGAAAGGGAATATTTACGGACAATTACATATTTTCCTTTCAAGAGTCCTGATAAAGACTGAATGACTAGAACAACCTGGAAAACACACTCAACGTGTGAAGCGTAAGAGTGCGAAAATGATACTTTATTAATCACAGAAAGAAAAACTATGACTTATAGTTGATCTATGAGCTTGGTAGTTGTTCTGGTGTGGCTAACGACAGGAGAGATCTGAACACACTTAGCTGTTTGATGATGATGGTATATAGTAAAGAAACAGCATGTGTTCCATTCACAAGTGTCACCTCAGCCTTTAACTCTTCAAAAATGAAGTCTTTTGCTGACTTTCTGCAGAGCTCGGGTGGACTTCTCTGGACTCTGAGGCATCTGGCAGAGACCGTGACTTGGTGGAATGTGCATTGTGGTCAGATCAGTCAGAATTCAAGATAGTTTTATAGGAGGATAAACCCGCTGCAGTCTGGAGCAAAAACAACCACCCACGCTGCAGCCGGTTCAAACGCTCCGGGATGGCAGGACGGAGTCGTATCAAGAGCTCATTTACAGCTCACTACTAGTTCTTTACAGCGATGGTTTGCAGGACTAAACGAAGATATCAAAGCTACAAAAGCAGCCTTCAAGACCTCGTCTATTCCCATTTTCGGTGTCTGCATCGGCGCATCTCAGCCAGCGATTAAAAGTGCAAACTGTTGACTTGAAAAGAGAAAATGAAGGAGCCCTCCACTGAAACACCAGGGGGGGGGTGAACGGCACTGTTTTTCTTCAAGGTGCATGTTAAGTAGGTTCAGTGGGGGGTTTTGTGCAGACGGATTGCATATGTGGACTTGATTTTCCCAGATTTTTGTTCTTGATGATCGATTCCAGTGTTATGCTTTTTTAGAAGCACAGAGAGAGAATCCGAAACTATGGAGAGGTTTTGAAACGTTACCTGTTTAAGGCAACCCCACTTTGCAGCCTGGGGCCAACAGGCCGTAGGTCCCTGTGTTGTTCAGTTGGACCTTTTCCTGCCATCCCCCACGAAGGAAGACTGCTGGGCCCTCCCGCGGTGGCCTCAAGGCCTTAACACGAAGCAGATGTGGTGGAAGAGAATCCCCCGCAACAGCGTCCGCACAGTCCGCTGGAGGTGCTCGGCTCTCAGCAGCCACACGTGATCGATGCACTCATATCGGGATTGTCCCTTTAGAAGCCACACACACCCATGTGTGTGTTATGTGCGACACCTATAGAAACAACACAAAAGACAAAGTTGGAGTGCTTCAAAGTGACGCACGCAAGTGCGTGAGGTGATTCATTTGTTAGATATGACGCTATAAAGAAATGATTCGAGTGTTATGTAAGTGACCAAAGTGCATGATATTTTCTAAATCACCTCATCTTGACTGCAACGTTTGCTCATGGAGTTCATCTCCAAGATTACCATGTCCATCCCAGTTAGTTACCAGACACGCGGCAAACAATTTCCCTTTATTAGTCAGCTATGTCACAGGTATTGTCATAGACTTATCATCTGGAATTAAAATTTACAACTGTTATCGCAAACATCCTGGTTGATTCACAGGTAGAGGAGCCAAAGATTTATTACTACATTTCATAGGGGGAAGATTTATCTTGGCGTGGGCTGATGATGATTTTGGATGCAACCTTTGTCATAACAATCATGTTGTACAACCAGAGGAGCACATGAACAGCCAAACTTAACAACAGAAGTGATGGGCAACCACATCAAAAGATAAAAGTGGATCCAAATTCAAATCAGAAGCAGTGAAGAATTTCTTGACAAGCTGTTTTCCCAGCATTTTTACGTAACCTTTTTATTCTTTTATTCTTTTTATTAAAGAACCTTTGATCTCTTGGGTGGATCTCATTGGATGATAATGTCATTATGTTGACTCATTTTTACTTGTTAATCCCTTAAGTAGGGCAAAGAATTTGATTCTTTGGCTCCTCTCGATGGTTCGAACTCACGCAAATCCACAGTACACCCGAATACTTTTTTTTTTTTTTAAACAGAGTCTGTAAGAAAAGCTAAGTTGGTCGGCATTTCCGAAACTGTTCGGTAAACATATAAATATATATATGTATATAGATTGTTTATATAAACATGTAATCTCGTATGGTCTTTCAGGGCTTTTTGGTAGCCATGCAACTGAGATAGGGGGAGAAACTGAGATAAGCAGCGTCAGTATCTGCCTCTCGCTTACATTTTGAACACAATTAATTATGATAAATGGCCACAACAATGATCTCATTTAGTTTAATCATAAACTATTGTATATATACACGGATTTAACCTCCCTCAGTACGAGCCCATGGTGAATGCACACAAGCCCATCAGGGTCATTCAATTTCTTTCTTTAATTATTGCTCTAATTGTTGCCTTGGCATGAGATCAAGGCACTGGCAGGACCTTTGCACCACGGTCAGTTGAAAGCAGAAGCAGTAATCAGACTGATAGGGTTTAGGATTTACAGTAAGTGTATGACCCAAAGGTTTGAGGCCTGTTTAAAGTATGATCTTAGCTTTGTTAACATAGAAACAAAATGAAAAGGGATGTGTTACGGCGTAAAATTGTATGATTCATTAAAGTATTTATTTTTTTAAGTTACGGCCAAACCAGTACATTTGTCTTTTAAGCTAAAATTCTTAATACTTGATCTTTTCACTGGCACTTCTCTTTCAATTCTTTCATGTTTATCTTTTCTAATAATCTTTGCAAAACATTTGTTTTGGTACACATCTGATTGAAACCATCACGATCACTACAGCTGAAGAAACCCTTCTGTAATGTCAAAAAATCAGTCTGTATCAATTCATCTGATTTATCTCGTGGAATAGCACAAATACTTCTATCCATCTGTTAATCTTGACTTTTCATTGTTTGCAATGACAAAGAAAGTCATGAGATTGTTTTTGTGTTGCCTCGGTACCATTACAAAAGAATCCTCACTGAATCTGCTTATTAGTTGGAAAATTGTTCCCTCTTACGTTCCATACATTACTGAAACTTATCCCAGTATTCAATGGGCTAAAGGCGGGGAACACCCTGGATAGTCCACCACTCCATCGCAGGGCCACTAAATAGATAATCCTCGTATGGAAAATTATAGAAGTCATAACCTGTAATGCTCCAGGAAACCAGAGTGAAACTGTCCAGTCCTAAGTTGACTCAGCCAAACTCAGGCTTGTGGCCAAGATTTTCACATAGATATCAAATGTCCAGAGACTTTGAGCCTACATGTTGTCAATCGTCATCCTGCGCTTTTAATCTTACGTCAAAGATTTAATTGAGAAGCAATCAAAAGAATATCTAGATCAGACAAATCTTTAGCTGTGGAAAAGAAATCAAAACGAGCCGAGCTCAGCTGGAGGCACCAGTGAGCACAAATGAATCTTTCTCCTAATTTGAATAGCTTCTGAAGACTTTACTTACCCTTTAAATTTAGTTTTTATCAGTGAACTATGTGGTTTAGATGTTTCAAGTTGATACACACCGGTTGGAAATGAGCTTGAATTAGGTAAAGGAATAACAGAAATAATAAAAAAGAGGTAATTGTTGTAGTGAAACTGATTTTTGTGACAATCAGTCTATATTTTATGCGTTAGAATGGCTTAACAAATGATTGAGCTAACATTTGCTTATCCCTTAAGACAGATGAGGTGCTGAGCACCTGTGCGGCAGCAGGATGGTGTTAACAGGACATGGGGGAGGTGTCTGAGGGGGTGGGGCTGCCTGGTATCCAGGAAACCGCTTTAAATGACTGTGGGGAGTGTACCGGGACATGTAGACCAGCCAAAGGCAACAGGGAAAGCAACAGCATCAATTCAGCCGGGATCCTACAAGCCGTTTTCACAGAAAAGCCAAGGGTTTAATCATGTGTGGTAAGATTCCCTCTTAGCCAGCTACTTTCTTTTTATTTTTTAGAAATGTTGTCTTCGAGTTGTTGGAAAGAATTGCGCGCATCGCTTTTTAGATTTGTCAGCAGGACAGCAAGCCCTCACCACGTTCCTACTAATCTGAGAAAAGTTCTAGTTAGACTGTTTCTTGATGAACTGTTCATGCCTGAAATGCAGAAGCTGGTTTGATTATTGTTTCCGATCTGGTGGATTCCTATGGAGCTGTGCGCACGACTGCTACGTGTCAGTGTTTTCACGGATGTCAACAAGTTCAGGACGGAGGGAGTCAGATTCCACACTGTGTCAAAGGCTCGTAATTAAGTGACGTCCCTTAGCAAACTAACATCCGCAGCCCGTAGCTGCGCTCAGGGAAACGTGAGCTCCACTTCTTTTTGGGGCTTCAACATTGTCACAACCTCGAGCGTCTTTTACTCGCTCCCGAGCAGGGGGGGACGCTTTCCAGCCCACGGTAAATCTTTAACAGGCTGCCAGCCTGAGATCGTCTCACGGCGAGGATGAGCAGGAAAGCCAGGCGGGAGATAGTTTGACCGCACGGCGTCCACCTGGCTGCTCCAACACTGCGCGCAATGTGCGCCCGTCAATGGCCAGCTGTGTGCCTGCGGGAGGAGCTGCCCGGAACATTCTTCCTCACGCACACACACACACACACACACACACACAAGCGCGCTCACACAGCCTGGCTTTTGACAGTTCAGCGAATATGTTACTGACCGACACTGCCAATCCAAATGCGACTGAACAATTTCGTGTACCTTAAATAACGTATTGCTAGGGGGATGTATGCATTGTATTCCGTGTGACGTCCCCACTGTATTCATATTTAAGTTTCTATGGAAGCATCAGCCTCTCTGTTTGATTCAAATTAATGGGTTTATTATGCTAATTTGACCATTCCAAAGAACGTCGATGAAATTAATAATTGATTAAGAGTACAAGGGATAAAATTGATACATCTGGTAGCGAAAATCCCACTTCAGTTAATAACACTAAATATGAATACAACAATAAGGAGTCCCCTTATTACGCCTTCATCAAATGTAAAAGGCTTTTAAGTGAATAACTATAGACATACGAAAGCTTCAGCAATCAAAAAGCTGCCACTGAAGCCTTTGCTGCTGTGTAAACATTCAGACTCTGGGAGGATTTATATTTTTGCTTCTTCTTCTTCAAAAAGGGATTTTTGCTTACCTGAACTACCAAGTGCCTCGCACCAGAAAGGAGATATTTGAGACGCTGGTGAGGGGACTGCAGAGGCTGGAGTACAGAGGGTACGATTCAGCAGGTAAGGCCCTCAGCTTCACAGAGCTGGCTCACAAATGCACGCATTCACACACAAAATGTACAAAAGCTTATAGGACTCACTTGAAATGAAAATCCAGGCAACTTTTTAGAGTTGCCGAAAGGAGAAGGAAATCAGTTTTAAGAATAATGATTTTGGATTGAATTCTTTGAGCCACATAGAGGTGATTTAAAATGTATTGTAAAACTGTGCTCGTTAGTAGAACTGACAACCAAGACAGACATTTTGATACTGAACTGTAAGCCTACCATACGTGTGACATGGTTCTCTCTAGAGGTTCAAACATGTTCCAGCTGAATGATGACCGTTAATTGTTTTGCATAGAATGATAGATTGAGCAGTCGCCTACTGATTGGAGGGTCAGTGGTTCGACTCCACATTCCCTTCGGCCGTTCGCCGAAGAATGTGTGTGTGAGGGAGTGAGTGATATGTAGTGTAAAGCGTTGTGAGTGGTCAGTTCGATTTGAAAAGCGCTATATACAAGTCCATTTACCATGACGTCAATAGGTGGCAGTCTTTCTCGGGACAGGTTTCCTTCACAGCACACTGGAAAAACAAAGACCAAAGTAAAGTTTAAGCTGTCAGGGGGGTGGGTGTTGACGGGAGGACTCAGGTGCGGAGATGGGGGGAAACGAGGTTTATTGTACAAAAAAACAGAGTGAATGTCCAGACAAAGTACAAATCAAAGCTGTGGAAAACTGTGGTCAAAGTATCAAAGCAATTAGCAAACAAGACTGAAGCAAAACTCTGACAAAGTAACAAAATAAAGATTAACCAAAACTGTGACAAGACTGTGGCAAAAACTGTGACAAAAACAAACCTGGCGTGGGGGTGACGAAGGACAGGACGGACTAGAGACAAGGCAAGCAGACAAGAACGACCCCGCACCAGACAAGGGGAAACGAGGACTATTTAAACACAAGAGGGAGGGGAACCCCAGGTGCACACAATTGGTAATCAGGACATGACGAGACACCAGACGTGACATAAGCACTAAAAGCTTCAACAAAGAGACTTTCATCAGCTGGCAGATGAATATGGTGCAAAAAAGACGCACCCATGTATACACAAATGTGTTTGTACATCCTATTTAAACAGGATTCACTCATTCAACCTCGACACATCTCTGACATGTGCTCACACCTTCACCACAGTGCCAATATTATCTCCAACCGGGCCTTACCCTCTCCTTAACATGTACAGATGTTCATTAAGAGAGCTTGACCACTGCAGTGACTGCAAACGGTACTAAATATTGAGTCCCCTCCTCCCCACCTGCCTGCAGGTATTGCCGTGGACGGTCCGAAAAAGACAACCACTGACCTCAACAACAACACGATCTGCTTGATCAAGAAGAAAGGGAAAGTGAAGGCTTTGGATGAGGAGTTATACAGTGAGTTTTAACTCATTGCTACTTTACCTTTCGTCACTTCATATATCTGTTAAAAAAGAGCAACAGCTGATTCTTTTGTGGCTTTTCAAATAAAAAAAACCCCCCACAATTTCCGTTTCTCATCTTAAAACTTCACAGAAATTTGAAAGCACCGTTCTGCCATTGTTGGACTTCTTGAATGTCATTTTTACTACTAATAAACGATCTTTTTCAGAAAAAGACTCACTTGACCTGGATGCAGAGCTGTGCACGCACTTCGGCCTGGCTCACACTCGCTGGGCCACACACGGAGAGCCCAGCGCCGTCAACAGCCACCCTCATCGCTCGGACAAGGACAATGGTAAGATGTGCTTGTATTCTGCGCCCAACCCAAAACAGTAATGACTCAAGGAAAAGCTTTTAATTTCAGTAGGGAAAATGCTGACGTTAACGCACTATGCTGTGATATGTAGTTTAATTGTCAACTTATGACAACCTTTGAATTCACTCTGAAAAGAATACGTGTTATACCTGGGACATCCCGACACACCCACCATTATAATAAAAACATCCAGATTAGTCTTTAAAGGTGTGCCAGTTATGTTTATTACATTTAGACCATAGCGTGTGTGGTTTAAAATATCCCTTTTTTCACAGAAACACCATACATAGTCAAACAAAAACACACCTTTTAGATATTTTTAGTTACTTTCCTACGGTGATGTTGATACATACTATGAGCTGCTGCTACACTCACTGCCTACTCTTTGTATAGCAGGCTTGATAAACCTGCCTTACCATACACCCTGCATTTCTTTCGGAGGCGTGTCAACTTCAGTTTTGAGTAAATGTAAATGACCTGTAGCCTCCTTTTGCTTTATCTTTTCACTCTTTCTGCCTTTTGTCAGAGTTTGTCGTCATCCACAATGGCATCATAACCAACTACAAAGAGCTGAAGGAGTACCTGGTGAGTTGTGATGTCACTCCGTATTCCTCTCATTCGATCAGTACTTCAGATCAAGCAAAGCATCCCCTCATTCTTGACCTGTCCAATGTGTTATAAATTATACTGGTGTTTGGGGCTTAAGTGAAACTGAGGGTAAGACTGCAAACTGTCAGGCACATATAAAAAGAAGGTCATTACATTTTCTATGTCGATTTAGTGTGATTTGTACAAACATGTCAGCTTTCCTACTGCACTGGCTAGAAATTCAAATTATGAGTAGAGATAAACATATTAATGTACTATTTACACAAGATGAAGATGTGAAAATGAAGATTAAAAGTATATGGACACTATTGAACCCTTCTATAATAAACTTATAGTTAACAGATTGTATTTAATTGTATTGACTGTATTTAATATCCTCACTATAGAGAAAGAGTTTCAACTTCAGGAGTCAAAATGTTAACTTTAATTATAGTTAATATCATGGTACCAATCAATTCATATATGCTTACCTTTTTTTAATGGTCACATTTTCTGTATTCTGTTGTAGCTGAAAAATTGGTTTGTGAGATTTGCGAATCACTGCGTTCTGTTTTCATTGAGGTTTTACACATTGTCATGGCATCAGGGTTTTGTCGTGCTGGAAGAAATTCTTCTTCAAGATCGTGTCTATTTTTCTATTCTTTAGATCACCAAAGGATATGAGTTTGAGTCAGATACGGACACAGAGGTGATCCCAAAACTGATCAAATATGTTTACGACAATCGAGAGAGCGACACCATCCCCTTCTCCATGCTGGTAGAGAGGGTCATCCAACAGCTGGTGAGCGCCTCACTCAGAAGTAACACACACACACACAAACTAACACACTAGGCTACTTCAGAGCAGCACCGCTAGGGTCACCGCTTTATGGAAACACTAAACTTTGCTTCTGTTTAACACCAGAAGTTTAACTCACTGACTGTTTTTTTTCTCCTCCGAGGGGATGGAAATTTTTATACGCTGCTTTCTGCTGGGTGTTATAAAGTGCACCCTTGACCAGTCATAAGCATTTATATGAGTTTGCTCACTCAACACTGTGCAAAGCTGTTTAAATGTCCTGTCTAATGAAAACACTTTGTCTATTGACAAAAAAGTTCTCCATGGCAACCACTCCAAATGCATCACAAGTGACATCATCGCAAAGAAAGATATTTTTTGGGGTTGAAATGAAGCAAGACTCACTTTTCCATTCTGAGTAATGCTTCAAAACATGACACTTTCTGTATGGAGGAGGTAAAGGCAGACTGTTTGGACTGAGAATAATGGAAACCAGATAGTCCAGGCTCACACCAGTGACAGCTTCCCCTTACCACAACCACACAGCCATCCAACTAGTCAGTGCTTTTAGAATACACCCCCTGTTCTTCCCCACCACTCATTAAACTTCCCTTCGTCTTTTTTATCTTTCAGATGAAACATTAGATGTACACTTTTATGTATTTCATGGTTGTCAATTGTTTCTCCTTAACTCTTCTAACAGTTTTTCACATTCTGATCAAGTCAATTGAAACTCTTTCTTGCTGTTGCAGGAGGGGGCCTTCGCTCTGGTCTTTAAAAGCCGTCATTTCCCTGAAGAGGCTGTCTCTACCAGGTTAGTGAGGACACGCTCACATAGACTGACCTGATATCTCACTTCATCTGAGTCTTTCCTGCCGTCACTATGAAGCAACGCGTCATTTGATTTGAGGCTTGTGTGATTAATGCCTGGTGGGTTATCTTAGCAACTGCGAATGACTCAGGACTGTCCTTTGCTCGCAATAATGGGCTACTCTACTGTTTTTCAATGGCTCCTATGAGCATGAGTAAATTCCCATCTGGCGGCGTGTGTCAGCGCTATCAGCATCTTAAGACCAGAGGTTGAACCGAGATTCCCCGTCTCCTTCCTGGGCCTCTGCCTCCCGAGCGGTCAGCCCCACGCCTGCCCTGTGACTCATTAACCAGAAACCAGAGGGTTTCTTGTTTCAGCTCTGGAAAATGCGCCCAGGCTGCGTACAACCCTCGCTAATTTGCTTAGTCATCATTTTATTTGACGTGATCAATTTCCTGGTTCTCTGACCACTCAACCATAAAGGCAAGAGCAGGGCACCCGCAAAAACGACAAACATAGACAGTTGGACTGTACATGTGGTTATGCAAACAGCTTACATGACAGTGCTGCTGATATCAAGGCAGGCACACCTGCTGCAAGAGGCAGGTACCTTTACCAACTTGGTTATTAAGGTTGTATTTGCAGCTCCTGAGAAAAAATTAAATCTACACCCTAAATTCAGAAAACATTCCGAATTTAGGTGGGGCCAGACACTGTAGTGTTATGGTTATAATACTTGTATTTTCTGCCAACAAAGTGGAAATTCTTGGAATGATCTAGTCATGCTTGACGCCGTCCGTTTATTGTTATCCGAGTTCAACATCCTATTGCCCTTATTTTTTTCTCAAAGGAATAGTTGTCTGTGTACACAGTTAACTCGGCCTGGCAAATAATAAGCCAAATGTGAATATTATTGCAAAGTAATAATATCCAGCCTAACAGTGTCCCAGTTTCTTTGGTGTTAGGGTTGTTGACCGTTGCTTTCCACGTGTTTTAGTAGACATCACAACAATATGTTTGAAACTCAACTCCATTAGTGGACTTCTGCCCAGGCCAGAGAGTCTTGTAATATTGTCTTTATCTGATCTTTAGAACAGCAAGAAGCACAGACACTATTTTAAATTATATCCCCTTTCTAGTCCTAAACTTATAATCCTTTTACCTCCCCTCCTCCCATCTTCCTGTTCGCGTAAATTGTGTATTGGATAGCAACCACATGTTTCTGTTTGCAAGCTTCCCTTTTCAAGTCCCACACCCTCTGAAACAATTCTTGCGTCAGCAGGGCCCCAGAGGAAAACTAAGTAGAGAGAAAATGGGGATCCAGACAAGAGTGAGAACTAAGGAGTGGTCTCTAGTTTCTTAAGAGCTTGTGTCCTCGTGGCCAAATTGCCTCACAGGTGATATGTATTCCTTAGCTTCATTGTGGTAGCACGATAAGTACATTGAGGTTTTCCTAGTTGCCCTTAGACCCTCCTCTCTCACCTGGTGGCATGCAACTACACACGCTCTAGCTGGACAGCCAATAACACATTACCACATGGATACAGTAGCCAATAAGGATGCAGGGACATGGTTCAGATTGAACCCATTTTTTCTTTTTTTTTTAAAAGAAAAAAGAGGAAAAATAACTAAGATTAAAGAGCTTTAAAGCGATTTGGGGTAAGTGGAAGGCTGTCTGCTCAGGGACAAAGCCAGTCTCAGAGTTGTGTACAAAATCACAGTCGGCGCCACCAATGCAGTAATGAAGAGAGAAATGGATAGAGATAAAGAGAGAGTTTACAGTTTAATTTGGAGTTACAAAGTAGGATCAGATGTCAGGATGCAAAGCACCATGTGTGATTGCATCTGACAGCGCTGTGTGTCTAGAAAGCCTAATCCTTCTCCTTCCCTCTCGTCCCCTCCGTCGGCTTCATTTTTCTCTCTGCAGGAGAGGAAGTCCACTGCTCATTGGTGTGCGAAGCAAGCACGAGCTGCCGACTGAACACATCCCTATCCAGTACAACACCGGTGAGCTCTGTTCCCCTACTTGTCTCCTCATCCACTTACACTGCACCCTAAATCCCTGCGTGATGCTGGTATGCTCACTGACAGCAGTACACACAGCCCACACCAGGGAAAATACTCCGATTTCAGCCATATAAAATCAGCAAGCATTATCAGGATTATCGCCTGATAGTTTTTGTCTGGGCTGTACACAGATAATTCTGATATTGTGGGCTTACGTATTAGTGAAGTTAGCAGAAAAAGAAACAATATCTCAGAAGCTTCCCCTTTTGTCGTAACAGGGGAAAAGATAAATGAAATAATTGTTCTAAGTAGTTGGTAGTCAACACTTTACATTTCGAAATGTATGTTCTGTCTTGATTAAATCAATGACAAATGAAAAACATTACATTGAGTCTCGTTTAAGAGATCACACATATCGCTTTTAGGCAGAAGACAAAAACAAACATGTACAGCTGTTTGATATTTAACATATGTATGCCATTCAGTCTGAGGTATCCATCACTTCAAGAGTCATGCATCCAGGAAATGGAACATTACTATTAACTTTCATTGTAAAAAAACAAAAACAAGTATAACTGTATATTTACCTCAGACATTGGTTATGGTTTCAGATTAACTGAGCAAGGGCAACTGGTAAATATCTGTTAGGCTCTTTTTGGAGCCTCTAATATAATGTAGTAGAAGGTTTAAACTGCAGCATGAGAGTATTTATGGCTTAGTGCTTAGTAAAACAGGTTAACTCAAATATGTGTTTTTTATTTGGTTTGGGCAACCTTTTTGGAATATGCTAATCAGAGGGTTTCAATGTGAAGTTTACCTCCCAAATCAAACAGTTTAAGGCAAAGCTTAGTGAATGGATTACATTACTTATTAAAACAGTGTCTTGCCTATTTGTGACATGGTTTGGGAAGCTTACATGCATTTGTTCTAATCTTATGTTGCAAGTAAGAAACTGAGTAAATTGTGTTCAGACATTAATCAGAACAGTCTCAGGCAACGCTCACAGAAGTTTCTATCAAACACTTCCATATACCAAACATGTAGCTTTGAAAGCCTCCAAGAAACAAACTATTTTCTCAGATGAAATGGCTGCTCTGATTTTCTCAGACACAGTCCACTGACACAAACCCACACTCACTGCCAAACAAGATTATCTTGGCTAAATGTTGAAGTAACACAAGATGTTATTCAGCCCTGCTGTCTATTGTGCAATAATTCTTCATAGCAGGACTCTCCTAGAGAACCACTTTCCTAAAGATTTGCCATGGGTATGAGTTTTTAATGGTGGTAGTCCTATGTAAAATTAAATGTTATCGAATAGTATGCAGTTACAAAGAGCCAAATTGTCTTTTATCAGGGCAAACCGTGAGAAAATGTCCCTTTCTTTGTCTCAATGACTAGTGTTTTGATGAAATAATCTGTGTTAATGGTTGCCACAAGAAACAATCTGTCTGTTTTTTAGCCAGTTACTTTGCCTCAGCCATGATTAGGAGTGTGTCTTCACTCTTTTATCAATAAATTCTTCAGACTGGTGCAAAGTCCAAAGCAGAGTTAGATTACTTAATACTGGGTAGTAAATGGGTGAGTCAAAAGGTCATTTGAATTCTGTCTTAACTATATTCTCTCGTACATCCCATAACCAGACAAATAGCCTCATGGTGGGAAATCTACATACAATGTCAAATGTGTGGTTTGTGACATATTTTTAAATGAAGAAGGCAAAATAATAGAACAGATGGGCTTAATGGGTTTTAGCCAGGACATAGGCCGGCCGGTATGAGGGCAGCTGGTGAAGAAGGTAGAGCTTGGCACAGATTTTTTTTTAAAGTCATACAAGTGTGGGAAGAGGGAAAAAGCACTCTGAATATAAATTATATCTATGATATTATTGATTATTACTGTTCTAAATCCAGTCCAAGTCAAATGTGGGCGTGCTCATACTCATTCAGAATATCTGCTCAGTGTGTCTAAACATCTTACTCGTACTGTATATCATGAAACAGAACATTTTGTTTTTCCTCTGCTCTTCTAAACGAAAGCAATCACTGGACGTTGTCCTGAAACTTATCAGGATTATGATGTTCTTGTTCAAGACAAGTTTTCTAATTTTTTCCTGAATGCTGAAAATGTGTTTGTATTGTCTAAAAAAGAGTAATTGTGCCCCTCTAAACTATCATATAACAATTAAAAATTTAGCTAGATAAAATGATGTGGCTGGTATCAGTTCCATGATTACTGGAGAAATCCATGTAACTTACTTTCAAACACAATTGTATGCTCTCTTAAAATAGAGCTACACAGAAATGCAGTTTGCAACGGCTACTGGCAGCTCCTTGCAGAGATAATAAAAGGACGGATAATGTTTTGTTATACAATTGCACAGATGTCATGCTTGTGTCACGTCGTCGCTTGACAAAAGACATCACCAACGTGCATCCAATAACCTGATTTTCCGGTGTACTTCATACTTTCGGGTGGTCTAACTCGCTGAGCAGAGTGCCTTAGTGCTGAGCGGCAGAAGCACGTCAGATATGAGGAGCCCAGCTCAATTGCCATTGTGTAAATGAAGGCAGTCGCTGATTTTAGTTAACTAAATCATCAGTGATTATTAAAGGACATTGTTTAGGGGCACAGGCAGGTCTCCACACAAACAAAGAAAAGTAGTGAATAAAAGGGCACTAGGGGCATCACAGATGTAAATAGGTCCGCACATACCTGGGCGTATTTGACGTGACTTTGCAGTTGAGTCAGCAAATGCTCTGCTCTCTAATTGAGGCTGCCGGTAAAAAGGAAGAATTTGAGCCATCTACGCAAACGAATAATTTCCCAACTGGCAAGTGAAGGGAGAGTGACAAGTGTGCAATTGCATGATGAAAATGATGCGGCCATAGTATTTCTGGGAAAGGTATGAAATGTATGTGCACATGCATGTGTGTGTTGGACCATTTCCCGGACGAGCCACGTCAGAAAAGAGTCAAAAGGAGCTATGTGAGGCTGCTAATCAATATAGATGTATAGTAATTTGTGTTGTCATAGCGTATTCCGCTGGCCCCCTTTTTACCCCCCCCCCCATCTCTGTTTGCTCTGTTGTACTCTATAATTTGGATGTTTCTTCAGTGTGTAAATATTTTGTTATATTTATGTATGGGGAAACTACTGTCATACCAAATTTCCCAGCTATAAACCGACACATCTGGTGTTTCAGGAAGTTTATTTCTTTTAAAGTATGAGTGAGACCACTGACCTTTGACTTTTGACTCTGAAGCTCATTTCAAAGAGGCCGTTCAAGAGAAGAACAGCCACAACCGACCTGACTCAACCAATGCCATCAACTCCGTTGGCGATGGTAGACCTGTGGAGTATTACTTTGCGTCAGACGCAAGGTGAGGAAGCAGCGTGTTTGTCCTTCTTTTTATTTTTCTTTCACCAACAGCAATTTTTATCCAGTGTGAACAAAAATGGAAGCTGTCTATTGGTGATTTTTAACTACCACTTTCCTGTGTTTCTGTTCCCCACAGTGCCATTATTGAGCACACCAACAAAGTGCTGTATCTGGAGGATGATGACATTGCAGCTGTGAGCAGAGGGAGGCTCTCAATCCACAGGATAAACCGGCAGGCTGGTGAAGACCCAGTGAGAGCGATTCAGACTCTGCAAATGGAGCTGCAGCAGATCATGAAAGGTCAGATAATTGTTGGAAAACACATTTTGTGTGCATGCCTAATATGAAGGCACTTTATTGAGCTGACTTTATTTTGATTTAAACAAGTGCTTTTGATTGAGAGATTTAAACACACAGATCACAGTATGTGACGAGCTTTAGATGCTTGCATGCCTGCCCTCTGCTGGTCATATAGGCAAAAAACATGTTCTTTTCTAGCTCCTGTCGTCTTCCTCTCATTCCCATAAAACTCAGTTAACTGTTAGCTTTGGGAAGGAACATTTCATGACATGAAAGATATCAAACAGATAAGATAAGATAATATGGTACTCTCCCTTAACAGGAAACTATGATGCCTTCATGCAGAAGGAGATCTTTGAGCAGCCAGAGTCGGTGGTCAACACCATGAGAGGTCGGATTTGTTTTGACTCCAACACAGGTAATCATTGAACTGCCACGCTTTGAAGAATTGCAGGTCATCCGAGCTTGACGGTGACAATCAATTTTAGAATGAATTAAACGTATTGACTAAGTAAGCCAGTGCAAACAGGACCTATATTGTTCAGTTTTGAAGCAGATTTCTCACCTAATAGTGCAGGCTCTATGTACAGTGTACAGTACTTAGTGTACTTAGATTATCACGGTCAGCTGTTTACCAAACATTGCTGTCTTATCCTGTCTTTAATCAGTGGTCCTTGGAGGACTGAAGGACCACCTGAAGGAGATTAAACGTTGCCGACGGCTAATCATGATCGGCTGTGGCACCAGTTTCCACGCGGCAGTCGCTGTGAGTTCCACCGCTCCGTTATCATTTCAGCTCATGTAGAACTGATGACATTTCATGTCAAAGACAGTAATCAGTCACAGTGAGGTTTGAGTGATAATACACAGAATCTGAATGATAGGAGGTGATGTTAAAGTTGCCGCTGCTTTTGTTGGCCTGTTTTCAGACCAGACAGCTCCTGGAGGAGCTGACAGAACTGCCAGTCATGGTGGAGCTGGCGAGCGACTTCCTGGACCGCAACACGCCCGTTTTCAGAGATGACGTTTGCTTCTTTATCAGCCAGTCAGGTGAATACTACATGAAATTATCTGTAATGCCTTCTGTTAATGTCTATTACTTCATGTTTATCTCCCCACACCTAAGACAGTGACCCTAATGCTGACTTTCAAAGAAATCAGACGTCATACACCCTCTTCATTTATTGCCAGAAGAGGGATCTTCCTATGTCGCAATTACACGTTGTGAGTTTTCATTCTGCTGGCTTCCTCAGGAGAGACAGCCGACACCCTGATGGCACTGCGTTACTGCAAAGACCGTGGCGCCCTAACGGCTGGTGTAACCAACACTGTGGGGAGCTCCATTTGTAGAGAAACTGACTGTGGAGTCCACATTAACGCTGGGCCAGAGATAGGAGTGGCTAGCACCAAGGTATACTTCACATCATTTCAGAACCGTTTTGTTTTTGTTATGCAGTCAAACAAGACAAAATTGTTACACAGCATTTCAATTACAGTCACTACATCTGAGACTGAAAAAGCAGAAGTCTTTCCTCCCTTGGTATAGGTCCCTTCACTACATGCAGCTTTAGCTTTGATGTTTAATGGAACAATACAGATATATGGGTTGCTTAATGAATAACAGCAACAGAGAAACATGCTTTTTTTATTTCAACACTACCTAAGGGCTTTAAACTGGGTGTGCTGTATGTGTTTTGCAGGCTTACACAAGTCAGTTTGTGGCGATAATCATGTTTGGCCTGATGATGAGTGAGGACAGACTCTCCCTACAGAAGAGAAGACTGGAGATCATCAATGGCCTCAAGGTGTTACCTGGTCAGTGCTCCAACAAAATGCAAAGCCACATGCTAAATACCTTTCACCAAGTACCATTTATGTAAAACCAGCTTGAGTTCCTCAGTTATCTTAAAATGTGCTGAAGGTTTTGGATTCTATAACTGTTGGCTGAGGGAACTACCTAACCTCAGCTGATAGATTTCTTCCTTATAAAAAAGATTTGTTTATTAGAAAAAACCAAATTCAATTCAGCAAGTTTCTAAACATAAAAGTAAAAAAAATCAAACAGATTTCTATTTTTATTTTCTCCATTTAAACTTATCTTTTAACTCTACTTGGGTGAGGTTATACCAAACAAAGCAAAAGCTTTGCGGTGAAGCATGAATGCAAAGGAAATAAAAAGCTTAGCTGGAAACTGTTAAATTCACCACCTTTGCATTGCACACGGTTTAAGAGATTTTCTGAATCACCTTGAAGTGGGTCCCTCAGCTATAAAACTGCTTTTAAAAACTGAAACCACTACTTTTTAAATGTTTACATGGCGGTCTTTCATTCTTCCTCCTCTTCCTTAGAACTGATAAAGAAGGTTTTGTCATTGAATGAGAAGATTAAGGCCATTGCCAGTGAACTCCGTGAGCAAAGGTCCCTTCTGGTTATGGGTCGGGGTTACAACTATGCTACCTGCCTTGAGGGAGCGCTGGTAAGTTAAAAATGAACACGAGTTAGTCATTTAACTGCCCTTCATTTGTTAATAGGAAGTAGAGACGGTTTCTAACTGTGTCTTAGCAGTTGTATCATCCATGCTTCAAATTGCAATCCACATTTATTATAAGTTTTGTTTTCTTTATTCTGATATAGAAAATTAAGGAGATCACATACATGCACTCTGAGGGCATCATGGCTGGAGAGCTTAAGCACGGTCCTCTGGCTCTCATTGACAAGCACATGCCTGTCATCATGATCATCATGCGTGACGCCTGCTACACTAAGTGTCAGAATGCTCTGCAGCAAGTCACTGCGAGATCGGTAGGTCTAAAAAAGCAAAAATAAACACTGACAACAGCGAAAAAGGCAGTCATTGAAGCACACGGCACACAGGGCACAACGCTTCTGGTCCAAAAACAACACTTATTGGCTTCTGTCTCCACCAGGGTCGGCCGATTGTCATCTGTTGCCAGGACGATGCGGAGGTGACCGAGAACGCTTACCAGAGAATTGAGCTGCCACAGACTGTGGACTGCCTGCAGGGCATCCTCAGCGTCATCCCCCTGCAACTGCTGTCCTTCCACCTGGCGGTTCAGAGAGGATACGATGTGAGTAGTAGTGTTTTCACCAAACAAAATGTTTAAGATTTGTTTACTGAGCACAGTCCAGGAATGAAGGAAACAAATCATTTTTCTCTTCACCTTTCTTTAGCTTCTTCTTCGGTGAAAGGGAATAGTGTATTATTTTAGTTATTAAACATTTTAATCAACTCTACAGTTAAAGAAAAAAAAGAAGCTGCATGGCACTGTTAAACCAACAAAATAGCACCCTTATTATACTGTTAACCTTTTACCAAAGTTCACTGATCACATGTGAATTTCTATGACAAACTGCTCTCTCATTTTCAGGTTGATTGTCCAAGAAACTTGGCCAAGTCTGTGACAGTGGAATAATTATACTTCATAAAGCCCCAGGAGATGAGAGCCTTGGTTTAAGAGATTTACAATTCAGATGTGCAATCAAACATTCAGTGTGTGTCTGTGTGTGTTGTATGTCTATGTGTGTCTGACAGCATTTGGGTGATGAATAGGTGCTCATACACTCATTTGTGGGGATTGTGTGCACATATGAGCAAGACTAAAAGAAAGATGGAGCTATGGGGTATGTTGGACCAAAAAAGACTAATGTGAAACCTGACCAATACACTGCTGCAAAGTTGAGGGTTCCATTGAGGACTTGTGGAACATCTATGAAGACAACGTTCACACAGCCAAAGTAACCTGCTGTGCCTTTTTCACATCATGAGTTGAGCCAAATCAAAGCTTCAGAATGGTACAATGAAGTGTTTATAACTGTGCAATAGGGGGAACCAAATGTGCATTATGAATGTACACAATATTGTTGATTTATTCTCTAGCAGTTTTTAAAAAGTTGATCTCATCCATTTTGGAATTTATATGATTCATTTGCATTAAAGAGACATAAGGAATTACCTTTATTGTAGAGTTCAAAATATTAGTACAGATCTCATTTTGTATATTTCTCTGTAAATGCATGGAATCACTATGCACAGAGACAAAATGCATCAGTTTATTCTATTTTTTTTATTTAATATTAATATTTACAAACCCCCAAACTATCTGTACTTTTTGCCTTCACAGTAAAGAGCATTCCATGCATTTGTAAGTAATTTGGCTAAAAAGTTGAATTTGTCTTATAACTCTCAATGCTTTTTTATCAACCATTTCTGTGGGTTTTAAAAATTGGATGTATTTAAGTGATTTTGTTTGTATGTTTGGTTGTTGTTTACCTTTTAGGGGCTAACGTCATTCTTTGGTTTATAACTTTATGATGGTATTTTTTACATGGTTTTATAGGCATTAAAAGGGCAGCGTCAACCAATAAATTGATTTAAAAAAAACTTCGTTTCAAAATATGGCTGTTTTATATGTATACGATCACTAATTGGGTTTAATGTTTGCACAGAATGATTTTACATCCAAAATCGTTTTCAATTTTTTTCAAATACTTCTAATGTTGATAAAATACCTTATCTAAAAGTTTAGCTCAGAACATTTGCTGTTGGGTTAGGAATTGTAAAACATCACACGAAAACTTTCTCTTCAGTTTCTCATTTTTCGGTGAGGGGGGGGCTCTGGCAAAGCCACCAACGTGAGTCGTGCGTGATGACGTCACCCACTGCTCGGGCTCTGCCTGTTGTGGCTCCTCCGCACCCGTCTCTCCGCGCTGCCGCTGGAGTTAGCTAGGAAGCAGGGAAAAGTCTGTCAGCCGTGACAGCCGGGCCGTCGGTTCTTCTGAACTTTCAGAAGTTATAGAAGGACCTGGAAGACGGGGGGAGGTGTTCTGTCTGTGTTTTGGATGCATGGGAGCTCCCTGGGAGCGGCGACGGGAGACGGTAGGTTTTTTTTCTTTTGCCGCTGCCGTGTCTCGGTCCGGCGGAGCTCGCGGTTCGACCCCCGGTAGTCGGGCCGACTACCGCAGTGCTGCGAATGAATTGAGAAAGACCCGGTCGCGTAGGCCGCGGAAACCCCTGAGGCCGGTTCGGCTGACGTCTATCACGCCGTAACTTTTGGCGGCGCTGTGAAGCGTCGGCTTTAGGGCTGTGGAGGCGGCGGGTGCCAGCAGTGCAGCAGCCACGGTGTGTCAGAGCCGGGTGACTTCATACCTCGGCTTGTCTGCGTGTATTTTAGAGCTGGCACGCCGCGCGTGGACAGTCCACTAACGACCTCAATCCCCCACACCTGGTTGTCATCGAACATGGCTTACCATACATTTACCCCGCATGCATGACATTTCGCGGGCCTAATGGGCTCAGGTTGTCAAATCTCACAGCTCACACGAACGCAAGTGCAGATGTGATGAAAGCATGTGCTATTTTGCGTGGACCTCATCTGGTTTGTTTGGTATGGTAGAAGCGTGTCAACGAGTCGGGCACCGTATGTACTCTGTACTAATCAGCCATGACGGCAGTCAAAAGCATTTCAAGGCAGACCGGCGTGAGTTGTGTAACCCAGCAGCATGGTGAGATCACACATATGTGCCGTCAACACCGTGGGACGATGCCATGCCTCGTCCTTTACATCTTTGAGCTGTAGCAATCTTATTAAGCCTGAATTGGCATCTCAAGCAGTAGTCTAGGTGTAGTTTTAGCACCCTGCGACATCCAAGAGGAGAGTTTTAGTCCTCAAACCATGTTCATCTGATGTCATCATCGCTGGCTCACCCGTTCCCTTCCAGATCCCCTAAAGCTGGACTTGGCTGAACTGGCCGGGGGCCGTGATGAGCTTGGGAAGAGGATTGGGATGTTTGTGTGAAGGTCATTTCTCTTGTCAGTTATTTTGTAGCAAAACGAATAGGAAATTATCATGGATTTGAGATGCCGAACGGGTTAAGGATATGCTTTTTCGTCCAATCTTTTAATCAAATTTTCTCCAACACCCGATCACAGTGGTGTTGTAAAATATTCAGCATGGCTGACGTCCTTTCCTGTCAGCGCTGTGACAAAATGTACATTCATGAGGCACTTACATTTAAAATGGCTCTGTTTTCTGTCAGTTTATGACTTAGAATGACACATGCAGCTCTAAGGAAGACTACAGAATTTGGCACTTCCCTCTCTCCTCGGATCCCCCTACAGTTGTGAGATGTCACACCACTAAAAATGAAAACAAAACTTTGTGTGAACCCTGCACATGTGCAGTCATACCCACGGGTTCGTTTACATGACAAAGAGGCCACCAGCCTGCTATCAAAAGCCCAGGAAAATGTCAAACAACTTAAAAGCAAAACACTGCAGAGCTAGATACCAGAGTCATGAACTGTGGTGTCTCGGAGTCCTGGCCCTCGGGAGCAGCTTTAGGCCATCACGCCGAAGGTCAGGACTCTTCAGAATGACTCAAAATCACATAGTTTTAATAATTTTGATTCATAAAATTGCTTGCTTTTACACTGTATTGACACAGTCAGTAGTATTTAATATTCTTAATAAATACACTTTTTAAAATATCACATGCTCCCCTGCTCATCTTTTAAAAAATCAAAACAGATCTCTCCCCCATCAAATCTCCAGTCTTTATCTGTTAGTGAACATAAATTACAACAGCTTTTCCCTTTGTGACTGTTACATACAGCCTGAACAGTTCAGTCAGTACAGTCTTACATTTTGAGGCAGGAGTGTAGATTTGACCCGTTTTGCTCTTGTTTGTTTAGTATTGAATATATATATTTTTGAAGGATCTTGCCCACATTCACAGAAGGAGCTGTGTCATGCTGCTCTCATCTCTGAGGGATAGAAATGTGATAGCAGCCATTGAAGCTGTGACTCATCCACCTTGCAGTTTACCTTCAGTCCGCCCGGGTTTTCATGGATGTCCAGTTTACACATATCTTCATATCAGGACATTCCTCTATGCGTGGTGGCCTATAGTTAAACCGGTAAAACGTTTGTTATGCTTGTTAAACCTGATTCTGGGCCATTTTTAACCAGGTTGCTATTGTCCTCTGTGTCAGTGCTCATCAGCCAATGCAGTATCGTGTATCTGCTGTTTTTGCTTTAGCCGAGATGAGTCTCGGTTATGATTAATGCCCCCTAGCAAGATATGTGTGTGTGTTGTGAATCCACACTCTGGACCTTTGGATCAAAAGAAGGAAAGAATACTAGAGAAAACAAAATTTACTGGCCCTGTTATGGTTTCTAGGCTTAAGGAGCAGAACTCGCATTTTACGTTGAGGGAAAAAACTATTTCCTTGCTTTATTGTAATTGAATTTTGTTGCAGATATATGCATTCAGTTTTTGCAGCTATTCAAATGGTTATTTAATCAAGCAGAGCTCTGCTTGCACATCATACTGGCAGTATTCAGCAGACTATATCTGTCCTACAGGGAGAGTTTGGGAGAAAACCAGAAAAGAGCAGTGGAGTGAGCGGATGCCAGGAATGCAAAAGAACCGAGAAGAAAGCCCAATGATAAAGGAGTAAAGGAAGTTCGTCTTTGTTGCTCTTCCTCTGGGTCTGCTAAGAGAGCCAGCTGGATGTTCATGCAAGAGGGAGGAGAAACAGCCGGGGAAGCAGAGGAAGAAAGCCAGGGATGAGGAGGCTTAATTTCTACATCTCTGGCATGGTGTGGTTGCATGCCTAGAACTTTTCTTTTTAGTTTCTTTTTTAGTTTCTCAAGGTACATTTTAGAAAGCAGGACTAAAATAAGGAAAGTTAATGGGAGATTGGGGCTGTTTAATCATGTAAAAATGCAACACAGTTTGTCTTTGGGTTAGCAAATGCAGGATGAAACCCTGCCATTGAGGTATTCAGTCAGAATCTCTGACTGAATTTATTTCACTGGTGTGGTCCATTTAGTTTTTATATGAGGTTCTAATATGATAGACCTCATTAGCATTTGGTTTTTCTTTTGAAATGGCTTTTCCAGCTCTGTCTACAATAGGTGGCAGTACTAGACCATTAAAATATGTTAAACCGACTCAGCAGCTAGTACACTTAGTTTTTATATTTTAGTTAGTGAAGTGGCAGTCAGTGAAGTAGTAATTACTTTGCCTGCCTCTCTATGCTAATCATTCATTTATTAAATTTAAAAACAGGGTTGTATGGTTCAGGCGTTGAGCATTTTTGGGGCTCTGTAATTCTATATTCACTATTCTTATGTTGAAATTCTGGCCGCTGTGTATTTTTCCCCACTCCTGACATACATACAAATACGAATACTGTTGTAGATTAAATGTCGACCTGATTTATGGTTGCAATTTCTTTTACACCTGCAGCCGGAAGTGTACGATTATATATGATTAAAATCCGTTGAGTCATGAGTAATTCATGTTTTGTTTTTAAACAACTATTTCACCTGATAGCCGGTGTATCTCTTTGCTCAAACAGACACTGTCAAAGCTGAGACTGAGCTGTCTTCACAGCTCAGGCAGCATGAAATGCTCGTGGCTCCATTCGATAATAACCTCTCCCCTGCTGCTCCTCTCTGGTCAGCGCTTTGTCCCCCCAACGCTCAAAAGCAGCCATTCTTTGAGTCTTTTTCAGTTCCCCTGTCAAACAAAACGAGCTAAAGAAAAGAAAGTCTCACTCTATTTAACTTGTGGCTGTTTTCTGAGGGACTGACAAACAGCGATGACTCCTTGTTGTTGCATAGCTGCGCGATTGTGTGTCGTCGCCCACTTACACACACAAACCACAGCCAAGAATAATAACCCACCTCTTCCTGCATCGCAGTGGGGTGCCAATGTTCCCATATTTGTTGTGGCCACGCAAGCGCAGTGTGTGTTTCGTTAACATGTATGTGCCCACGAGGGGTTCATGGCTGTGACATTGAGCACCATAAAGGAAATCTGTTCAGGACGAACACTGTGAGAGTGTGTGTCTGTAGGAGTACACCGAGCATGACAACGCCAGCCTGAGTTTGGAGATGGCGTCGGGATGAGAGCCCCAGGAAGTCCATGCAGTCAGCCTCCTCATCGCTCGCTGATGCACTAACAGTCGTACTCGGAAACAGTCGTGGCTCAGCTCCAGCCCACAGTCCCAGTTGTCCAGTGAGCAACGCAGGCAGAGCTGCGACGGGCTGTCAGGCTTCGGGCTGATCTGCAAATGAAATGAGTAATCCGTTAGCAGCCTTGTCATTTATCTCTCTGATGGAGGCTGATTAAAGTGTTAGAGCTGTTTTTACCTGATGTCCATCTGAACTGTGTGCCTCCAGCTCCGTGGTGCTGCGGAGTGTTAATCCCTGTTTGTTTTCTCTGGACGTGTGCTGTTGCCCCTTTGCAGACAGCGCTGGTGGTCCTGACTGTTCGGCAGGATGAGTGAGGCGGAGGGCCAGTTCTACAGCGTTCAGGTGGGGGACTCCACCTTCACTGTTCTCAAGCGCTACCAGCAGCTTCGTGCCATCGGCTCAGGGGCCCAAGGCATCGTCTGGTGAGAGGCTTATGGAAGTGTTTTGCTGATTGTGTTGTGCACGTATGTAGTCGTGAAATAAGCCCTTCTGCGGGTGCAATGTCTGCATTTCCTGTTATTCCAGCCTCCTTTTTCTTTTTGGGATCTTCACAGCGTTAAGACAAAGAAAACCAATCAGTGTTGTACCAAACCAGCCCCCATTGATTTCATTTGGACGGGCTGGCTTGTTTTCACAGTATCATTGCTTACAGCACAAAGTCAGTGAATCCATCGCTAATGTTAGCAACATCTGTCCAGTTCCTATTCACTTGTCTTTAAACTATTGACCTAACTCCATGCAGAGTTTAAGCAATAGCTGGTGTTGCAAGATGTTGTGAAAACTCTTAATAGGAGGTATTTCTGCCATTCCTGTGGGATAGGCTTGTGCACGTACAGTTACAAATACGAAGCTCTGAATACTAAGATTTGATCATTTTTTAGCCCATTGGAAACATTATACATCTCCAATCCAGTCATGTTAGAGGTATTCAAAGTAAAAGTGGAGTATCTTGCTGTGCCTCTTGACATATACCTGGTCAGCACCCCATTGTTCAGCTTAAAGTTGAGCACCTAACTCTCTCAAGGTTTTAATGCCTAGATTATTACACCAACACTCAAGAGTTTTTAAATATCCTTTTCTGATATCTTTGGCCAGTACATTTGGAATCTTTTAAAACGATTTTACCACATGGACGAATAAGTACAGTACCTGCTTTTGGAAATGACATACTATTCACCATTGTTGTCATTTATTGTACAGGTTTGCACATGAGGCAGACCACATCAAACTCTACAGTTTCCCATGTCGGAGGATTCCATTAGCTGATAGTGTATTATCTTTGTTTAGCAGTTGTCAGCTGACTATATATTTAACATCAAGGTTCTGAAGTTAGGACGGCCATGAGGACGATAGGCCTCATAATGATATGTGGTGATATCTTGTTATGTCTAAAGATAAATTGGGACTGATACATCGGTAGCTTCTTTCACCTCCTGGCAAACGCATCTTTTCCTCAGTATTTTGCTTCTTTTCTAACTTTGTCCGTGTGCTCTCTTCCATGCAACCTGTTACCAGCTCCGCCCTAGACACAGTCCTGGGCATACCTGTGGCAGTGAAAAAGCTGTGTCGGCCCTTTCAGAACCAGACCCATGCAAAGCGGGCCTACAGGGAGCTGGTGCTGCTCAAATGTGTCAACCACAAAAATGTAAGTTTCTGCTTTAATCCAAAGGTCTTTCCTACCTGTTTCAGCATCTTCATTATTTTTTCTCTTGATGTTCTAATGAGTCTTGATAAAGCAGTAAAAGCAGTTATTATTGAATAAGTAATGCAAGGTCTTCTGAGTAAAGGCAAGCAAAATCTAAATGTTATCTCATGTTTGACTATGTTAGTAACAACTTGGTACTTTTGAAGTGACTTGCAGTACGATAGGGGAACTGGCCAAAAGCTATTTGGTTTAGAAGAAGAGATTCAGCTATCTGCAGTGCTGACAAAGTTTCTTTCTGCAAGTGCAAGAATCCATACAAAACCCTTTTAGCGCTTTGTCCACAGTTGGATAGCTCTCCACAGCGAAGGGGATGTAGATAGGAGACTAACTGAGTGGACTAATGGCCTGTCTCTCCACTTGCAGATCATCCGTCTGATCAATGTCTTCACGCCTCAGAAGTCTCTGGAGGAGTTCCAGGATCTGTAAGTGGCAGTGGAGTTTTTTGGCAATAAACTTCTTCTCTGTTTTTTCTCTAGCAGTCCGACATTTTGTATGTGGTTTTTGGTTACCTTTTTCCCACAGAATTCCAGTTTATGTCGCTCTCCCCCTCTGTCCTGAATAGCTTTTAGACCTTCATGTTGCTCTCATAGCCATTATTCCATTTTTTTTGTGGGCTTCTTTATTCTTATGTCCACTTCTCTCCATCTGGTTTCCATGTTGACTCTTTCCTTGTCTCATTAACTCTGAATTGAGTACAACCTCCAATCATTCCCTTTCTCTCAGGTATCTGGTTATGGAGTTGATGGATGCCAGCCTGTGCCAGGTGATCCACATGGACCTGGACCATGAGAGAATGTCCTACCTGCTCTACCAGATTCTTTGTGGCATCAGGCACCTGCACTCAGCTGGGATCATCCATAGGGTGAATGCAAGCAGTAGCTGTGCTTTTGGTTGACAGTGACACTTAACACAACACAAAATCCACTAAATGACATCCAACAGAGGAATGTGAAGCTCTACTGCTCTTTCTGGTTGATGAAGGTGTTGTCAGAGCCACGTAGGGCTTCACTTCTTATCAGGGATCGGAATTTTGATTCCATGTCAGGAGAAGTTAGAAGAAATACCTTGTTAATTCAAAATTTTTATCAATAACTAAGGAAGAGTGTTGATCCATTACTTAAATGTCAGCAATCACTTTGAAAATGACACGAGCTGATATAGGTTTTCTCCCAACATAATTTCACTATGAAATTACAAAACCGTGTCATGTTTTTATCTGTACGATATTCAGGATCTGAAGCCCAGTAACATTGTGGTCAAGTCAGATTGTACTCTGAAGATCTTGGATTTCGGCCTGGCAAGGACGGCCTGCACTAACTTCATGATGACCCCATACGTGGTAACCAGATACTACCGAGCCCCGGAGGTGATTCTGGGCATGAAGTATAAGGAGAACGGTAAGAGCAGATAGAAAATTATTTGTCTTCACTCAAGCCTTTGAAACATGAAATATAAATATTCCTGCAGGAGCTGAAGTCAACAGTTCATGCTAAGAACCCCACCAACATACTGAAGTTGAAGCTGTTCTGTTCAGAGAGGGCTGTGATTGTAAAGGACGCTTCAACACTTCCACTGAAAGTTCCTTTACAATATTTTAGGGCCTTTAAATTAATCAAGTTGTCTTTGAATATCTTAGATGTTTTAGGAAATCTGTACCGGATATATCAAGTCATTTATTTCACTCCATTTCTTTAAATGGAGGAATGTATTTAAAATAGTGTTATGATTGCATATGATTCATCAAAGAAACTTGCCATTTTAACCAGACTGTGCAGGCTTGACAAATCTTGGATCCAGTCGTGTTGTTTGGTCTTGTTGGGTTTTGTATTGGTGATTGGTCATTGAAAAAAAAGCAACGAATAGTTATATTGTGCCATTACTCTGCTCCAGTGGACCTGTGGTCAGTTGGCTGCATTATGGCTGAAATTATCTCTCACAAAGTCCTTTTTCCTGGAAAGGACTGTATCCTTTCTTGTTTGTCTTTTGTAACTGTTTGTGTTTTTTGGCTTTTGGCGTGAGGGGAGGACAAAGACACTTTTTCATCAACTTCTGGAATAGCTCATCTACTCTGTTTAAACTCTTTATGGACACAGGAAGGGTTAAAAATTCCTAATTCTGTGTATTTATTATAGTCCCAGGGATTTAATCCGAGCTCAAGTAAACTGAATAACAGTAATTATCTTCCCTAACTAAGTCTGGTGATTCACATGTTTTTTAAACAAGCAAAAGCACAAGTTGCTCAAATGTGAAACCTCGCTGTGGGTAGGATTACAGACAGGAACTTCTCAAGTGACTAATATCACTCGGATGAGACTTGACCTAAAAGAAAATTGGATTTCTTAAGAATTAAACTTCTACATTTCCCCAGACTCTTTAATGGAAGCAAGGGGGGAAAGGGATGGTATTATGCATTTCGTCATGCTATTTAGATAAAAGGGAACATTAAAAGTTGTAAATATTGTGTTTGTGGCTGTTGTGGGCTATCTGGACTCGTCATTGGGGGAGGAATTTATTTTTGTTGAGATTTACAGTGTCAGACTCGAAGCCTCCACTATAGAGACTGCAGAGATAAGGCCTCTGATTCATGTAACATCTACATAGAGTTCTGGAGATGTTATCTGAGCACGAGCATTCAGCCTCAGTGACCCGGGAATAGACAAAAGAGTAAAAGGCCATTTGCCACTTATAAACGCTTTCAAGCAAACAGCCAACTCGGGAGCGGGAGGGAGAGACGAACTGCATCCTACGCTGTTAAGAGCACACACTCAAGCTTACACACAGAGGGAAACAGGGAAAGAACAGCAGCTGTGTAAACTGATAAGCAAAGAGAAAGGCCTGGAAGGCTGCAACTGGTAGTCAGCCACAGAGAAGAAAGCCAGCCTGAAGATGAGTGTGATGAATGCATCAGGCCATGGCTCAGCAGGAGGATGGAGCAAAGCAGAGGAAGCTTCTTTTTTTTCCCTTTTTCATTTCAGTGTTTGTCATTGGAATGGAAGCCATGGAGCACAACGTTCATCTGTACGGCCTCTGTTTCATCTTAGTCTACATTTAGTGTGAATTTTCTTCTGTGGTTGATGTGATGACATGGCTTTTATTTGAAATGTGTCTTCTGTGATGTGTGTGTCATGCGTGTCTTGTGTTTGCTTGTGTGTTCTCTGCTTGCAGTGGACATCTGGTCAGTAGGGTGCATCATGGGAGAGATGGTAAAAGGCAGCGTCATCTTCCAAGGCACCGATCGTATCCTTCTCTCATCGTCTTTGTGCTGTTTACCATCCCTCCCCTCGCATCTCTCCCTCTCCAATAAAGCCCCGTTCCTTTTTTTTTTGTTCAACTTTGGTTAAAAGAAAGAGCCTTTGTGTGTTTCTTGTTGTCTTCAATGTTTATTCATCAGTGAGTTTGCTGTCGATTCCCATTGCATTACCACTGATCCATCTGTAATGTGTCTGGACTCCTCTCACCAGCTTCTCGTTTATGTCCAATTAAGTGTGCAGGGAAAATGTGTGATTGGTTGGCCTACACTGAATTTACATTTACTTGATGAACGGCAACAGGATTTTGAAAAGACAAATGTGCTACAGTGCCGAGTTTACTTCTGATAATATGACTCCATCCTGTACTTTGGTTTGAGCCAATACGTTTTAAATCTATAACGTTCCCTTCCGACTACGCTGTGGTTTTAGTCTTTTTTTTATGTTTAGTAGTTAACATGACTGTAGGTATATTTCATGATGATGTAATAATATTAAGCATATTTAGGTAATTGAACCCCAATGCGAATAGACACTTTTTTCTTGAGTATAACGTTTTTTTTTCAGGGCTTGGTTGTGAACACTTCAGAATTTTCTGCTGTTTTCCTTATTTTCCTCTCATTTCTCTACATATGAATGTGCCCTTGTATGAATTAAATTTTTCCGTAACAAGTGTATCATGCAGACATCGACCAGTGGAACAAGGTGATTGAGATTCTGGGCACGCCCAGTCTGGAGTTTATGAACCGACTGATGGAAACCGTAAGGAACTATGTGATGAACAAGCCACAGTACCCAGGCGTCAGCTTTGCAGAGCTTTTCCCAGACTGGGCTTTTCCTTCTGAGTCAGAACATGACAAACTGAAGAGTAAGAACTTTCAGTACTTCCTTACTTACAGCTTTAGAACTATGAGACGCAATTTTTCAGCTCTATATAGTTATTTGTGAATAAAACTCTAGAGGACAAAAAGCTTCGTTAACGCACGTTAACTGAATGACTGTAGTATTTGGATACTGCATCACCAAAGCAAACAAATACATGCAAGGAAAGGTGATCCCGTTTCCTGAGGACTGTTTAAATCGAGCAGTGTCATCCTCTGGTTTCCATAGTAACGTTTGCCTTCCTGTGTCACCAAAACAGCAGGTCAAGCACGGGACTTGCTCTCCAAAATGCTGGTCATTGATCCTGAATGCCGCATCTCTGTAGAAGAAGCCCTCAACCACCCCTACATCCACGTGTGGTACGACCCCGCAGAGGCAGACGCGGTGAGGAAACTACCCTTCTCAGTGCCATAGCTCTATGTGACGTCGCTCTGAAAAAGGATTTCTCTTTTTGTACCACAGCCTCCTCCCCAGATTTCAGATAAGCAGCTGGAAGAGAGAGAGCACAGCATTGAGCAATGGAAAGGTAAGGAACGATGCCCTCTAGAGACACAAGTCTGCACTGGGCCTTAGCTTCTGACCTCAAGCTAACTGAGTCCATGGGTCTGGATCATAAAACATGTTTTAACACATGTCAAATCATTACACATTTTTATTGTCAACCCTCAAGCAGAACAATAGAGTTACGTAAACAACAAAGCTAGTGTATTTTGCAAACATTAAGGGGTTCAAGTTCATAGAATATTTTGATTTATTTGGTTATATCTAGTCTTTTATTTAGCCTATAATGGAGATAGTAAGTAAAGGCAAGGGTCTGTGTAATGTACAGTTTTTAAAGAAAACTCAGTGATGAGCAATCATAACACAGCCACTGAAGTAGCACCAATATAACTCTAGAATGAAAGTCCTGGAGTTTCATCCATGGCCTTGCCAGTGATAACCGGCCTCCTCTGTTTCCCATCAGAGCTTATTTATGAAGAGGTGATTGACTGGGAGGAGAGGAACAAGAATGGTTTAATGAAAGAAGATTGTTCAGGTAAGGAAATGCACCATTATCAGATTGTACTTGGTCTCCTCTTAAGATCAGCGATGAGTCTTAGTTGGGTAGGTGTTCATTGGTTATTTCAGTTATTTTTTAAGACTTGTTACCTGCCTTTGCATAATTGCTGCACATTTTATATGAAAATGAACATCCAGTTCTGTGCTTGAGGCACAGTGGGGAAAAAGAGAGATTCTACACAGAAACTAGTTTCGGTTTGATTCATCCTGCATGTAAGAGTAGAGAGGGGCAATGTAACATGTGCTCAATGTAAATTGTTCTTTTGGGTGTGTTTCATTCCTCAGATGTGGTGTCAGGTTCAGCCTCCCAGTCCTCCTCTGCCAACGACATCTCCTCCATGTCCACAGAGCAAACCTTAGCGTCAGACACAGACAGCAGCAGCATCGACACGCTGACAGGACCGCTGGACGAGAGTCAGTGAACGTTCTCTCACCGGCTCCAGTCCTCTCCCCCTTTTACCATGTCCAATATCCGTCTGGCAACAGCAAATTCCCCTTGTGTAGGCTGTTTGTTTTTTTCACCGTTCTGTTCAAACCTCAATATGCAGGTCTATTTTTCTATTTTCTTTCACTGTGTGATGTGGTGGATCCCGGTGAGCTTCTTTGAAAACTCAATTTAGGACTGCTGCTTAAAGGTCGAAGCTAAATGCGCCATCTGTTGTGTCCAGAGGTTTGTTCTCTTCTTCATGGATAGTCTTGATCATGTACACCGTGTACAGCGTATGCACCCACATTGATTTTCAGGTCACCAGATATAGGTGGTGGTGGGGGGGGGGTCGGTGTCCTTAGTCTGCGTCAATGTATTTTAGTGGGTTTATTGTATTTTATTCTTTTTTTGTTAGTTTGTTTTCAGGAATCATTCAGTTGAGATGAGACTTTATCATAATATTAGAGCAGACGCACACTCATCATAGATCACAGTTGCTAGGTGCCCTTGTGCATGTTAGACCAAAAAGAACAAAAGCTTGACAGCATCCAATGATCAAAGGCCGATATGAAGTGTGAGTGAATCTCTAGCACGCTTGAATTATTGCAGATATCCACGGTGGTGCTTTCTGCATGGTGTTTTTTTTCCTTGTGTTTTAAAAAAAAAAAGTTTTTATTAATTGGCATGAGTGATGTGGATTTTGAGCTTTTACTCCTGACAGCAAGGTAAGCTGTGTTTGCAGTGTTACAGTTTTATTTCCTGAAATAGCGTACTGTATGTAAAGATGTCAAGATATGACCCTCAGTAGTTGTTGTAGACCTTTTCCTTACAAATAGATAAGGTGTGCTCGTTGTGTCAAGACAAATATCTGTAAGAACCTTATATAGATGTATATCTCAATCACCCCCATTTGACTTAAGGTACGGAATGTCAGTGCTGATCAGATCATAAGCCTAGAAATCGGAAAGTGGCATAATGGCACGTGTATTTGTTAGTTTGTTTTTGCAAAATGTTGCACACAAAACCGCACTGAAGCCCGTGAAAATTCAGCCTCACACGAAAGCCTTTCATTGGCAAATAAAAGCACGGGCTGCTCCTTTTCTAAACCATTCCATTAGAGCTGGCAAAGTCACGATTTAATCCTGAAATCAGACAACATGTCGAGGACATGTGAGAGGCAGTAAAACACAGCAGTCATGTTTAACCCGCATGAAGTCTCCACGAGGATTCGATGCCATAGGTTTTGTTATAAGGAGATATCCGTTCAGGTTTGCTCTCTCACTTTTAGTACCTTGATGCTCTCAGTTCTCAGAGCCTGACTGAAAAACTATGTATATTTTGCCTTGTAAGCCTCTGTGTGTATATGATATCAAAATGTACTGTGCAGCACTCTTTTTTTTTTTTTTTTAAATGTTCTTTCAGTCATACTTAAAGACAGCAGTTACCCTGTTTGTAAAGTAAAAGTCTATGACATGCGGTTTAATAGAGTGACTGAGAATGTGTCCTGAGTCCTGAACCAGAATCTGGATCTAGCAACTCAAGATTGAAACTTAAAAGATGAACCATGGAAATGGACTGAAGAGCTGCTGTTTGTTTTGTTTTTTTTGCATTAATGATTGCACAGTGTGATGGACATGCAGAAATATGACACTATGAGTCTCTGAAGACTGAAGCACCTCGTTGTATAGAACCATGAGTTTATTCTTTCTGTTATGCCTTAAATGACCTGAGGAGTGGCCAACTCGCCCTCTAAACTCTAAGCAGATCAGGACTGTACATCAAAGATTTCCTCTCTGTGATTGCAGTGACCACAGTAAGATCACCTGGCCAACATATTTTACCCATTCTCAAAACAAATAAAGTGGACATCAGTGATTCTTTCATTGGTTTGGTTTTGTGCAATTGCCGTATTCACTTGAAAGTTCAAATGATACAATTGCATATTATGACAGTTACAGTTGGAAAACAACTCATCCATCACCTCTTTTCCCTTCTCAGTGCACACACCCTCCACATCATCCAGCACTAAATTTGATCTCTCTCAAAAGCTCTTGACGATGTATTCCGTCTTCTTGGCCTCGCTGTTGAGCTCCCCGAAGGTGTCAAAGAACTGCTCCATGTCCTTCTGGAGCGTTGCGTTGCGGAACTCGGCGGCGTCTCGGGCCCTCTCGGACTCCACGATCTTGGCCTGGACAGCCTGGTACCAGTGGCGCTGCTGGGTGAGGTTTGTTTTCAAGCGGACGACTTCTACCTGCAGCTCTTCATTCCTCTGCTCCAGGCTGTAACAACCAGGGAGGACAACCACAGGTTACGAGAGAACGGCCAACTGCTCAAAGGCTACTTAAATCTAACATGTTTCGTTTGGTCTATTGTTAAATGCATAGCCTGGTGTTACTGGGCCATGCATTTACATTTAGAAACTCTTGCATTTAAGTTTAAGTTTGTCCAAAAGTATTTAAAACCTTTAAACAGCTCGTGGAATCCCTTATAACAAATGTTTACAGATGTTACAGATGCTTCAGGCTCCTTTGGCACCGTATTCCATCAACCGAAGACGCTGCGCAGAAAGTGTTGCACACTCCACCATGAAAAGGTGAGCCCTAAGGTGAGCAGTTTAAAGATTGCATCTGCCAGAGAAAACTCAAATTACGAAAGTGAACCGGCCCACAAATTCACAATATGTTGATGACTCAATCAGTTGTAACTTTGTGAGGCTTTGAGTAGGTTTAGATGAAGAAACTAAAATCTTCTCCAAGCTGAGAAGCTCTGACAACTGCCCGCTTCCCCTCTGTCCTCTACTTAAAAAAGGAAAGGAAAAGGTGTAAGGAAGAAAGATATTAGGCTTAGTGCAATTATTGCCGCTTTGCTTTTACTCAGTCTGTGCTGGTCTTCCGTTTTTTTCTTATGTCTTATAAACCCATAGCCAAAAGAAAGAGTCCACTTTAACTCAAAGCCTTATTTACACCCACTTATTCAGCTAACCTTTAAATCAAAATGGTTTCTCAATCTGCAACTGTAGAACATGCTTTTCTTTTTATTTAGACTTATGGTCTGTGTCAAGCTGAAATAATTGTCGTGTCCTCTTGTCCTCACCAACCGGTACCAATGCATGAGCGTACACTGAGACAGGCTCTATCTATATCAGTAATAAATGGGGTATGTGTTGTGTCTAGGTCAGCAGCATGGCCCCTTAAATTAGCTCTCTTTCCCGTGTCATGAGCTGTTTTTCTATATGTCAACCATGCAAGGCGTACTTTTCTGCAGGTCGAGCCAACCAGCTGTTGACCGGAGTGAAACAGGATTATTTTAGTTCTGTAAAGGAAACCACATTTACTTAAATATACATTTGCAGCTTAAATGGATCCATATCCAGTGTTTGCTGAATTCACATTGCACAGTTTTTGTTTTATTTTTCATAGCAGAGTGCATGCTTGCTTCACAGAGTGTCATGAGGGAATTTAATCTGGTTCTGAAGCTCTTTTAAGCAAACAGGATATGGGGTTAAGCTTGGAGTCAAAAGAGGAACAAGAAAAAAAAAAAGCCCAGCCAAGTGGACTCTCACGCTTCATCTGGGAACTTTGTGTTACCCTTCCCTGAAAGTACACCAAAAACTGTAAACGCCTTAGCCACGACCACAAGTTATTTCAAAACATTCATTTGTCTTTTGCATGCTGGTGCTAATCTCTGAAAAGTGATTAGGGTTATTGTTTCATTTGAGATGCAAGACAAAGCCATTTGTTAATGACCTGATAATCCGGGCCTCGTACTCCTCCCTTTGCCTGATGATCTGCTGCTGGAGGCTGGTGAGGAGGCTTCGCAGAGCGCTGGCGGAGGGATCGGCGAGGGGAACCGGGGGCGGTACCCTCGGAGGCGGTGGTGGGTGCTGGGCTTCAGCCGGGCACCGCAGAACCGGGCACCTGGCTATCTGCCGGGGACTCGCCAGAAGTGACCCGGAGAGCTCGGGATCCATCACGAATCCACAACTTCCTGAGTCCAGCTTGGGCTCCTGGTCTGGCTCCTTGTCTTCGTCTTGATTCTGGTCCTGCTTACTTACACAGCTCTTGCCGTGGGTGATCTGACAAGAAGACCAAGGGCTCTGGTCGTGACCCACGGCATCATCCCACGTCAGTCCCCGGAGCTGTTCGGGGGCCCATGCCTCGTTCATGTCCTGCAAGTGTTCCTGGAAGCTTGCTTCCATGTCGAAGTCCTGCTGGAGTGTGTCTGTCGTGTCGGCGTCGGGGAGGTTGTCGTACAGGGACAGAGCGCTGCGATGCTCCTCGCTCTGCGAGGGGCTGGGGCTCTGGCTCTGACGGGCCCTGTCCCCAATTCCCCAGTCGCATCCCTTCCCTCCTCCTGCGTTGTTTATGCCTGGCCTCAGCTCTGCTTCCCAGGGCTGGTTTTCCAGAGCTCTTCTGCAGCTGCGGTAGCTGCGACCTGGCGAGGCGCCAGGCCCTCTTCCTCCTGCAACCACTGTCTGAACCTCAGCCAAAGCCGGGACCAGAGCGGGCAGAGGGCTGCCGGGGCCCGGGAGTCTGGTTACCAAAGGGCACACCACCCTGCTCTCCATTTCCTTCTCCTTGGCCTTCTCCCGCTGGGCGAAGGGAGGGCAGTTGTCGTAGAGGGGATCCGTGGAGCAGGAGCTGGCAGTGGTGGGGGTCTCAGTAGGAAGACAGTACAGCTCCATGATCCAAGCGAGCACATGGGGGTGCTGAAAGCCTCAGATAACCCTCCCCTTTTCTGTCTGCGGTAACTTGGGATTAAAGGCTTGGGTTGTGGATCTGTGAGCGTGGTATGGAGCCTCCCCTTTGCCAAGTGCTGATGTGTCGTGGGGAGAGGAAGGTCTGGGATCCCTCCTCCCCTTTGGCTGGCGCTCGGCTGTGGCTTTGAGGGTGGTGTTGGACAGGTTGTAGTGTGGGTGTCACCAGCAGGGACTGTGTGTGGAGGTCTGTAAGCAGGACTGACATCAGCTGTTACTTTCGCACTGCTTCTGGGGGGGAGGGACCGGAGTGTAATATAGTCGGGCTCATTCCTGAAGACAGTCGCACATAAATGGAACCACTGAAATAGACGATAACTGTGGGCACAGAGTGTGAAACACACACACAATGAGACTGCCCCTCACTTGAAACGTTAACATTTAAGTACACGATGTTTCTAATACAAGGATTAGAGCTGTGCTCATCAGGATTTGTCTGACTTAAGATGTTTAAAGGGGCGACGTGAAGATTCACAGATTCAGTGTAAATTGGTGCTAGCTTAAAGGACGAAGGCACATTCTAGCAGGTGTCTGTGTTTTTTTGTTTTTTTTTGTTTTTGCCTTTTGGGGAACAGATTAAAAGGACAGCAGGAGAATCAGAACATTAGCCAAATGAGGTAATAGGACAGACGCTCAATTCATTTGCCTGTTCCCCAGTGTGAGATGCATCTATGTAATAAATAGATCATAGTGTAAAATATGAATACTAACATAAATGTTAAAGCAACTTTTACAAACCAGGCCCACATTACAGAGCATTACTGCATGAATTTACATTGTAAATCTTGCCTTTGCATATGGGGGCCTTTACTGAGCTTGTCGCCATATTACATTTTTTCTCATATTATTTGTTTGTTTGTTCTTTGGTAGTTTTTCTTATTCTCTTGTGTGTAAGTTATGTGATAAGTTTCAAGTTCACCACTGGTGTATTGTAGCTCCTGCCAAGAAATGTCAAATTTGGTTTGATGTGAAAAACAAACATCACAAAAGACCCACAGTAATTCAAATACGATATATTAAATCTGAACCACCATGAACATGATTGAAGTCTTTCAACTTTTTCACTTTTAAATTCCAATGGAATCACAATTGCCTGAAAACAACTGAAGTGTTGCAGTGGATAAAACATCTAACGCTATTGAAGAAGAAAAGGTCTGTAAATTCTGATTTAAGTGACCAAACGAGGCATGTGCATTTTCAAAGCCTATGAGAGATCAGTCGACCACACAATGCATGGCCACAGTATGAATTAAGAGAAAAAAACGCTCACAGCCGTACACTGCCGCAATTTGCTTTCCAACCTAGAGGCTGTGCAGGAGCCTCAGATAGTGAACTGCAGTCTGGCACAATCTAAGGCTTCATGGAGTTACACCACAGGGTGGAGCTGAAGACAACGATTTGAAAGTGTTGTACTTTCAGTAGTCACTGAACCTTGAAATCATTTGAGGCAGGCATGCCCTTTAAAATGACCAATGCTGAACTGTTTTTATTCTTTTTTATTATTTTGATATTTACTACACATTCATTCTTTGTAGATACATATCCCATTGCTTCTTCCTCTTTTGAAAGTTTATTTCTGATGTGCCTATAGAGCCAGGAGGCAGTGCGATGGCTGTGGAGAGTTCTCTCATTAGGTCTGTGCCACAGAGGACCAGCCATCGAGGGCTTCTCTGCGGGACACATCCACACAGACACTTCTACGTAATTTGTTTTCAAATCAGCTCCAGTTGGATGCATAAGCTACAGAGGGAGACGACAGATTCCACCGACTGTGAGCAAAATCTTTCAGCCAAGTTTTTGGCTTTTCGCCGCAGTATTCCTCCAGTGCTCTGTAAACATTTCTGCAGCAGCACACACCAAACAGTCAGGTCTTCTGTCAGCTCTGATAAAAAAGCTCTTTTATCTGCCCTATGTAAATCACCCCGCGCCCTTCAAGGCTGCGCAGACAAAGAGGAAATCACAGTGTTTTATCTCTTTGTACACACATTGTGGGATTTATATTTTGACAGTGTATTCTAGCGTTTTCTTTCATTTAGAAAAATCCTCCTTGGGCCCTATTTAACTGATAACTGGAGGAGGCCTTGGAATATGTTTGGACTGTCGTTGAGGTGTTAAAGCTAAAGCCACAAAACACAGGAAGCAGAAAGAAATGAACCAGCTGGAACACCAGACATTAGGTTTCATCTCTCTGATCTCCCTCAGAGGGTTACTCTTAACTGTCGCTGAACAAAGGAGACCAAACTCATCACCCCCCCCGTCTCCTGCCCTTCACCCTGTGACTTATCCAGCTTGATCTCTAACCTTACTGAGGATGAGTTTCCCTCAAGACCTCTTATCAACCCCCCCCCTCCATCTTCCTCCTGTTCCTCCAGTTACATCTGCGTAGTTGTTTGTAGCCATGACGACAGAATCCATGGCAACACAGATCCCCATGGTCCTAAATAATAAAGGTGGATGTACTGGGGAGTAGAGAGAGGGGGGCTCAGTGACAATTTTAGTGACAGTCTTGATGGTTAGTAATTGAGTTTGCCTCTTGTTTATAAGAGGTTTGAACTTAATGGTCCAAGAGGGAAAAATGCACAGGTGTCCTTAAGTCGGCAGAATAGCTGATCAGCTTGGCTATAAATACAGATATGAAGGCTATGAGGCACATTGATGACTGGTAATGTGTGTTTTTGAAGAGAAGATCAAAAGGAAGGTTGCTGCTTCTTATGAGGAGGAGCAAAAAGGATATAGACAGATAGAAGGAAACTTGGATTCAGTCGAGAATGGAAGAGAGATAAGAAAAAGCAAACGGGGGATGTGTGTTTTGCAGTGATGTTTTCTTCCATGTAGGTGGGTTTCTGAGAGATGAACAGCCCGGACTCTCCTTTTCCTTTCCTTACCAGCCTCTGATGTGTGGGTGCATTTAAGCTACTGTGGAATCCAAACAGTTTATGCAGCTTATTTGTGGTCAACACGTGTTTTATTAAGATAGCCATGGTTTCCTGTCCAGTGGAACCCATCAAACACCTTCAATTTTAATATTGATTAGTTCCAATGGGGTCTGAAGGCGGGCGACCTGTGGAATCTGAGAAGCTAAGAGATGCAGCCTCTCTCTCTGCTTTAACCAGTTACAATTGATCTGTTTAATAGAAACCAGAGGAATAACAGGCATGTTCACAGCACATTTGTTACTTACTGCCTGTCAGTTTCTCTTTCATTTGAGCCACCTGAAGATGTTCAGTGTTGGTTGTTCACAGGAACATCTATTCAAATGCCCAGCATGGATAAATTCATGTAGTCAGCAAGTTAACCCAAGTTTTGAATAGTCATGTCACCTACAGGTCACGAGGCATCCTTGTCTCATCTTCAACATTTCAAATAAGTCTTTGTTTTTACCTTCTTTTCCCTGTGTCCTCAGGGAAAAAGAGGGACTCACTCACGTGAACACACTCGTGCCACTTGAGCCTCTTTGTCTGATAATCCTACATTTTGCACATGTTCTGTGCATAACTGGCATCCATGTGTGGGCACGTTATGTTGCCGCCATGCAAAATTGGATTACACCCATCCCATCCCTGTATGCTTGTCTCAATTAAAAGAAGTGACACATTTACCTTTTGATGCGTTGATACCCGAGCTCCATTGTTTCATTGTAGCTCGTATGATTAACATTTTTATTGGATAAGTCAAACTAGGATCTGTTCAAGCAGCTGTGCAACGTGATTACCCACACAGTAATAGACCGGCATATTTGTTTGCAAGAGTTCTCTCAGAGTGAGCCATTATGCATTTTGACAGACAATTAACAGACCTGGCAGAGTTACCATGGGAACGACTTCTTGAAGACTTCATAGGACGTAAGAAAGTGCTCAGAATTCTCTGGACCAGTGAAGAAAACAAGGGAAATGTTGCATAGATCAGAGCAGGAAGGTTCTGGAAATAAATGGGGAAATGGAAGAGCGAACACAGAACGTACAGAAAGTTCAGGTTTAAGGAGGTCGGAAAAGAACGAAAGCTGCGAGGGATAATAATATCTGCACGAGTTGAAAGAAAACAGACCAGCTCTCGGGCCAGGCGTTAGTAGGTAGAATAGACATACGCAGCTGATTTGATGACTTATTCAGGGTTTCTCTGGAGCTCTTTTCCAAGGATGTCTCTGAAAAAGCACATGTTTGAAGTGTCTGCATATGTGATCGTCGGGGTGGGGGGGGGGGGGGGGGGGGGGATGTGTGAGGGTGGTGCGATACCGATGGAGCAAGGAAAGGATTTCTGGAAATAGTGAATATAAAAAAGTAGCTTTGAAAATCTCGACATTTCCACTGGCCGGTGGGGAGAGTTCAAATCACAGGATTAAGACAGTAATCTTTGCTGCATTCGGCCGAATCCGAACAGATCGAATGTCCCCAACACTTCAGAATTCTGCTTCTGTTTTCTGTCACATCTGCAGCTGACACCGCTGAGGCAGAGCCCCGGAAGTCACATCACTCCATGTCACGCTTCCTCCAAGCATTTTACAGACGATGCTCTTAAATTAGGATTTTAACTCAATACAAGCCTTGGCCAGATTGTTCTGACTGGAGTCTGATTTGTCTAAAGAAAGCTGTGACAGAAAGTCTCTGATACAGAAAGTCTTTAAAAAAGAAAAACGTTTAGCCCGCAAAAGTCCCCTTTATTCATTCTTATCATAGAAATCCTGTTTCTGCCACACTGAATAAAACATTAATGGCTGAAAAAAATTGACTGCAGAGCTCAAGCAGTTTACATTCATAACACGTGGCTGGTAATAATACCTTCGTAAGCACCATGCTAACTCTCCCTGTCATCACGAGTGGTGTTCAATGCTAGTCAGTTAAAAGCAGGCCTTTTCGTTTTGGAATGAACAGAAAATGAGGCCTGCTTATGAATACTCTCAAATTAACTCCTACACCCACAACAATGGTCCT